GCCTAGGCCTGTCCAGCGACTGGTACTGCCAGTCTCGGCAGGCTCAGCGTACTGGTCGCTGGAGGACCGAACTGTGTACTGGTGGTTTGAGCGGTGGCGGCATTTTCTTCTTGGTTGAAGTCAATTCCGATGGGTAACGGATAACAATCCGTTGGGCTTTTACAAGACCCAAGACACGGTTAATAGTACCATCGCCCGTTGGATGACTTTCATTGACCAGTTAGACTTTTTCTCTGATCAGATTTTGGGAAAGTTAAACCGTTTTGCAGACGCTCTTTCACGACGCTCGAACCTTTGTACCATAGTCTACTCGACGTTTGAGGTTGACGATTACTTGCAGGACAGCTTCGTCCGCGACTACCAAGTAGATCCCAAGTTTCGCGACAAGTACGCGAATTGATCCTCTCCAAATCCGGCACCATTGCATTATTGGATGCAAGGGAAGGATCTTCTTTGCGTACCAAGTGATTCACACTTCCATACACAGCTTCTTGGTTTGGAGTCAATCGTACGATTGGCCGACTTCGCGAGCGCTTTTGGTGGCCTGGCCTTCTCGACGACGTCACACGCTATTGCGAGTCATGCGAGGTTTGCCGGTGTTGCAAATCCCGCAATCACGTTCGTTCGACGAGTTGCGACCATTATTGGTCCCTTAGGATGACGGGAAGTGATTGCCATGGACATCATCGGGCCGTTTCCTAAGCATAAGACAAGTATGGATGGGATTGCCACGGTGGTCGATCGACTCACATGTCTGCCGTGTTTTTTTCTAGTCACTATCACGCCAAGCCGCTAGAGTTGGCCGAGGTTCTTTATGCCGGTTGGATTCGTACCAAGGGTTACCCCAAGGAAATCGTTTGCGACCGTGACACTCGGTTCATGTCCAACTTTTGGTTGGCTCTCATCAAACGATGGGGCTCATGGGGCTCATCAAACCTCACAGGTTCTTCTTCGCACTCTCGTTCGTCCCAACCAAAAGGATTGGATTGAGTGGCTGCCGGACGTCGAGTTGGCTTACAACTCGTCCATTCATCCGGCTATTGGGATGTCGCCCTTCGAGTTCGAGCATGGCTCGCCGGTCATGTTGCCGTTGGACACCATCATTCCGTGGACAACCGAGGGCGAGGATCACCTTGTCTTCATTTGACGGATGCAAGAGCTCCTTGTCACGGCACACGACCAGATGTTGAAGACGCAGCAACACATGACTGAGCATGTATCAATTGCTCATTAAGAAAGATTGGGGATACATGTGCATCTTATTAAAGAGAAAGCTGTCTCTTGCCTGATGCTGTTTCACGAGACCATTTCTGCACTGGGCCCAGCGCCACATGGTTCTTGTTTTTGTCATCCTGCGACTCGTGCACCTGTGGTTGTCGTTTCCCGTCCTCTGTGAGTGTTGTTGTGGGTGGGCCATTTGCGCCATCCTCTGTGTGTGTCATTTGTGGCTTGGCCCTTTTTCTTTTGCACACGTTTAAGTTTGTCGTGTTTCTTTCTTTTCTCCCTTTTTGGTTTTGTTTTCGGCATGTTTGTGGTTGTTATGCGTATTTGAGTAGAACCAGTAGATTCATTCAGATACAAGTACACACCTCAAACGTGCGGATGCGCAGCACAAAACTGACTCTTAGTGAACAGGTCATGCGTTTGAAGTGGAAAACTAACTCTTGGTAAACAGGTCATAAGTTTGAGGTACAGTGAAATCAGATGTCCACAGAAAAAAAAGAAAGGTGTTCAAGCACCGGCTGAGTGGATGAACAGTACAATTCTAACTGTTACTAAACAGGTCATGAGTTTGAATTGCACTGGAATCACACAACAGTTTTTTGCTTTGGTTTCATAGGCATGTGTCAATACCATCCCACATGGTACCTCTCAGTCCACATGGTTGGGTTTGTGGGTGTGTGTTGGTACCATGAAGTCCACATAGTATGACCCGCGCACATGGAACTGCTCAGTCCATGTGGTACTGCCTCACCCACATAGTCTCACACAGCCCACACAATATCACCCAGCCGACAGAGTACCACTTGGCTGCGCCATGGGCCGAGCTGTGCCAAAGTGCTTGTGTGTTTATTTTTTTTTTTCCCCTGAGCAGTGTGTGTGTGTGTGTGTCTGTGTGTGTGTGTGTGCTTGTGTGTGTGTGTGTGTGTGTGCATTCTTGTGGCCACATGTCTGTAGTACCATCTGGTCCACAGAGTGTGNTGTGTGTGTGTGTGTGTGTGCATTCTTGTGGCCACATGTCTGTAGTACCATCTGGTCCACAGAGTGTGACCCACCCCTTTTCGCTTGCAATTTTTATGAGAATTCACTGGCGTTGTGTGTATTTCGTACCACCCCTGCACAGTATTGCAAAGGCTCGGTCCACATGGTTCCATCCCCACCCATGTACTATCACCCAGCCCACATAATACCACCCAGTCCACATAGTAGCACCTTGGCACAGGCTGAGTTGTGCCTCAGTGTGTGTGTGTGTGTGTGTGTGTGTGTGTGTGTGTGCGCGTTTGTGTTTCAAGCGCATGGTCTTGCTACCCGCCCTGCCTCCTTACTACCACACTCGGTCTACATAACACCACAGTCAGCCAGCATGGCACTGAAAAGTTGTGCTGCAGAGAGAAAGAGTCCGACCCATTGCCGTTTTCCCTAAGCAAAGCTGCAGCAGGCAATCACTTGTGAAACTACTGAAATCTTTTGAAGCAGCCTCAAGCAGGGTATGAAAAATTCTTGAAGAGAGAGAAACGTGCAAACTACAAAGCTAGATGACAGGAGGAAGAATATTAGAAGAATAGTACTGAAAATCAATTGCATCGTGCTGTTGGCTTTTGTTTCTCAGGGGAGAAGTTCTCGGATGTTGTGGGCAGCCCATATTATGTGGCCCCTGAAGTTCTGAAGCGTGATTACGGTCCTGAGGCAGATGTATGGAGTGCAGGTGTTATTTTGTATATCCTTCTCAGCGGTGTACCGCCATTTTGGGCTGGTGAGGAACATTTTGACCTGGTGATGTTTCAATCTTTTCCCTGCCTTTTCCCCTGCTCCAAAATATGACGAGGATCTGTGAGAAAATCTCCCTGGAATTGTCTTGGTCTCTCAACTGCTTGGCACAAGCCCCTTGGCGCAGGCGATGGTAAGGCAAGTATCATGTATTTTTTGGCCCTAGCAGAGTCTTCTATAGCCTTGGGGTAGAACCTCTTGACAAGGAAGTATGGCTAATGAAAGCCTGTGCAATTTTTTGATGAGACGGATGGTGTTGGGTAATCATCCTGGGTGCCCACTCACCAACTAAGGACCTATCCTAAGAGAAGGAATCTCGAACTGCTATATTGGAAAATACATTCAATATAATCACAAGCACAGCCGAGGACTACAATGCAAGTCTATCACTCGATATGGAATGAAGAATTCGAGAAATTAGCATGGAATGAGATCTCAGGGTAAACAGCCAAGTTTAAGAGGAATAAAGGTGAAAGGACCACACATAGAACGGTCTGTCCCATGATAGACGTGGATGAAGTGCAAGGAAGGAGAAGGAATGAGAGAATAGGAGGGGAGGAGATTCAAAATCCAGGTCTCTCAAAGTAACTCATTTACTCAATAGTCACACATTATGTGGAGGCTGATACCCAAGAGGGCCACAAATCTCTCTCTGATGCCACGCCCACTCACCGTAACTCTGAGCCGTCAGCATGGCTTTGTCTTGTATTCAGGATCAAGGAAGGTTGCTGCACAATGCACCTCACACGTCGTGACTGCACATCCACTTTCTCGCCCTCTGAAAGACAGGCAAGGGTGTGCATCTACGCCACAATTGTGTCCATGCCATGATACACCTTGCTAATCATTGCTTTAGATCCATCCACCAAATGCAGCAGTTTGATGATCGGTGTCATCACAACCAACCCTTTGTCTATCGCCTTCCAAAACCAGGTTGATCGAGAAGAATCATCTGGGTCATTTCATCGAAGGTCACCACCTGGTCCGGCTCTCTAGCTTATCCACCAATGTGGAGTTACACACACAGCTCCCGGGGATGCTTTGCATTCTCAGAGAGTCCAGCATGTTGAAGTTCGTTGAGAACAGCGTGACAGCAGACTGTTTGAGTTGGATGTTGCCTAAATTGTGCAAGATGGCGTGGACTTCGTTGACGTTTGTGAAAAACTTCCACACCTGGCTACCTGTGTTGGCAACCTCTGCCATCCAACCCTACCGCTTGTACGTGTCCTCCGAGACAAGATCCAAGGCATGCGCTGTGCACCTTATACGAAAGGTTGTTGGATACTTCACATCCACGTCTTCTCTCTGTCTCTTATACACATCTAGATGTGTATAAGAGACGACCCTAGTGTTGTCCATGAGAACCCTAACCATGATGCACACCTGGCTACCTGTGTTGGCAACCTCTGCCATCCAACCCTACCGCTTGTACGTGTCCTCCAAGACAAGATCAACGCATGCGCTGTGCACCTTATACGAAAGGTTGTTGGGTACTTCACATCCACGTCTTCTCTGCTTGTCACACAGACCCTAGTGTTGTCCATGAGAGCCCTAACCATGATGCCGAATCCTTTTCCTTGCCCTCCATGCAGACCGACTTCCAGAACATGGTGCCCAGTTGGGGAGGTGACCATCACGTTCCCCTGCGGACCACCCATCCACACAGCATGCCTCCACTCGGCTCCCACTTCCTCACAAGCCTTTTCATCCCGTAATGCCAGTCCAGCCTCTTGGTCCTCGCCTCTTCACTGTGTCAACAAATTCCTGGAAGAATTCATTCTCTACCATGCTGTAAGGCTGATTTGTGCATGTTATCCACCTATCAAGCAGACAACTGGACTGCTCGTTGTGGGTGACTATGCTATGAGCCTCCTCAATCAAGGCCTGCCTCATTGGTCGGCCGGTCGACAGACACAGAATGACGGGGTTCGCACAAGACCCTGCAGATGTTTGCAACTCCCTCTGACTCCCCTGCATGTAGTCCGGGTCTCAGCTACAAACTGCAGACCGACCTCCTCCCCCTTCACCTTGAAGCAGACTTGCAAGGTGCTTCCCCTGGTGAAGCCCCTCCATCCTCCTAATCGTCTTGTCTGCAGACAGTGGTCTGGTCACAAGGTTGAGACTGCACTCGTGCAGGAAATTGTCCTTCAGTTCAGTTGCTGTCCCGTTGTTGCGGCCTCACAATAGTTGCAGACCAAGTGTTTTGATCCCTTGCTGGCATTCATCCCTACAGCAGTGACTCCATTGAATTGCTTCTTCAGTTGCTGCAGAAGCTGCTTCGATGCCATCTTGCCCTGGATGGGAACGAGACATATCCAATGCACAAACAACAAAGTCAGGCTCTTGCGTCAAAACCCACTCTTTCTGTCCCATTGCGTAAGCCCCTTGTTCGAAAGTTCAACAAACATGATATACAATTAAGAGATATTCTGCGATTCCGTAGACAATACGTTGCCATCCTGAAACAGGGAGGTGAACGGGTGGTGGAATTGATTTGAGGGAGGTGAGATAGATGGCAGAGGGTGCTGGGAGGTGGATGGCAAGAATGGGGAGTGCAAATGGCGTGAGGGAGGGGTGAGAGATGGAGGGACCACGGAGGTGGATGCCGAGAATTGGGAGTGCAAATGGCATGAGGGAGGGGGGAGAGATGGCGGAGGGCGAACTGAGGTGGGTGGCTAGAATGGGGAGTGCAAATGACTTGAGGATGGGGAGAGAGATTGTGGTGGGAGCATGCAGGTGGGCGAGCCGAGGTGGGTGGACAAGAACGGGGAGTGCAAATGGCGTGAGTGGGGAGAGGGATTGCGGCGGGAGCATGGAGGTGGGTGGCGAGAACGGGAAGTGCACACGGTGTGAGGAAGGGGAAAGAGATGGCAGAGGGAGCATGGAGGTGGATGGCCATGGAGGTGGGTGGCCAGACTGGGAACTGCAAATAGCTGAGGGAAGGGAAAGAGACAGTGGAGGGAGCTAGGAGGTGGGTTGAGAAAGCTGGTTGCCACAAAATACAAAAAGAGAAAAAAAACTTGATCCCCACACCTCTTAAACCACCACTACCCCCACCGTCCTAAATTTGGGGGGACCGGTAGAGGGCTACCGGTAGCACAGTGGGGAGAACCAGGGGAGTGGCAAAATGGAAAATGCATCGAATTGCCACTGCAATTTATTTTGCAGTTTAAACGATTAAAATATATATATATATATATATATATATATATATATATATATATATATATATATATATATATATTGTTCCTGGAAAGATCACGACCAAATCTACAAACCCTCCAATTTCCAGATTTCTTAACACATTCTTTTGATCGTGAAAAATTGCTGAAGTTGAGGTACTTGTCCTGTTGGCCCACGCGTGGTAGAGCGGGAAAAATGGAAATGAGATGAATCGGCGCGACATTTATTTCACAGTCTGATTTTTGTTTGTTTTTTTCCTGGCAAGGCCACGACCAAGACCACGACCAAGTCCACGGACCCTATATTTTTGGTAGTTTCTGAGTCATTTTTCTGAGCGCAAAAAACTGTGGAAGCTGGGGTACGTTTTCCGTTGGCCCTCACGTGGTAGAGTGGCAAAAATGGAAAATGTGAGAAATCGGCATGGCATTTATTTCACGGTCCATATATATATATATACAGCCTCCTGATGAGTCGGTGAAACTCCGACGAAACAGTTTGTCACAGCCCCTCGTTTGTTGTCCTCTTCTCCCTCTCTGCCTACGGTTTACCGGGCAGTTCTATTTGACGATATATACCTGTCTCTTATACACATCTAGATGTGTATAAGAGACAGTCTGCAGACTGTTGAGGGTTCAGCCTCCTGATGAGTCGGTGAAACTCCGACGAAACAGTTTGTCACAGCCCCTCGTTTGTTGTCCTCTTCTCCCTCTCTGCCTACGGTTTACCGGGCAGTTCTATTTGACGATATATATATATATATATATATATACAGGGTCACCAGCCCGTACGTACGGAGGTCCCCGGACCGACCTCCATACGTACGGGCGTACGGGGTCCGAACCCAGTGGCGTTTGGCCCCCGCCAAAAATGATTTCAGGCCCAATTTTTTTTTTTTTTTCTGAATTTTTTTTTGTGAGTTCTCTATGAAGTGCGGTACATACCTATAAGTTTTCAAGTCATTTGGCTCAGCCAAATAGGAATTAAAAATGTCCAAAGATGGCGGTGTCAAAACGTGGTCACCCACATTTTTTTTCACTTTTTACTTTTTGTTTTCACTTTAGTTCGGGGTCTTAACAATTTTATCATTTTTTGAAACTTTTTTAGTGGGGTTATCATGATGTGAAGTACACATCTGTAACTTTTCAGGGCATTTAGCTATGCCAAAAAAAAAAAGAAAAATAGCCAAAGGTGGCGGTGTCGTAAAAGTGGTCGCACACTCACTAAATTTAATTCTTTTTTTATTTTTTGTTATTTTTATTATTAGTATTTTACTATTTTTTCTGCATATTTTATTTTTATTTCAAATTTGGTGAGGAATTTGGATGTAATGCTCAGGCAAATCTTGTTTAATTTATTTTCTTCATAACATATCTTTTTTTCAGATTTTTTTGATTTTTTTTTAATTTTTTAATTTTTGTTTTTTTGGGGTCCGCGTTCGGCCCGAACGGCTGAACGCATCCCCAAGGGGTCCCATACGTTCGGGCGTTCAGGTTCGGTTGTTCGGCCCGTCCCGAACACCAGTTACCCTGTATGTATACATATGTCTGTTTGACTATATATATTCCTGGAAGATCACAGTTACTGGCAAACGCTCAGTCCTTGTGTTAGCCGGCCCCCCACCAGCGGCCCCAACCCTGCACCCTAAACGCTAGGGCGAAGGGGCAAACATGCCGTTACCTCTCTTCACCAAGAGAGGTGGCCTCCCTTCACCGAAGAGAGGTAGAAAGCTACGCTGGCAGGGGTCCTCTGTATAGCGTTAGTAGTGGTAGGTAGGTAGTGAAAGAAAGATATGTTCATGACATG